AAACCATTTCAGGTGACTACCTCTTGAAGCTCATGGAGAGAATGCCAAGAGTGTGCAAAGCAGTAATCAGAGCAAAGGGTGGCTATTTTGAAGAAACTAGAATATAAAACATGTTTTCAGTTATTTCACCTTTTTTTGTTAAGTACATAACTCCACATGTGTTCATTCATAGTTTTGATGCCTTCAGTGAGAATCTACAATGTAAATAGTCATGAAAATAAAGAAAACGCATTGAATGAGAAGGTGTGTCCAAACTTTTGGCCTGTACTGTATGTTGTTTTAATTAATAAATACAGTGTGAATAAAGATTACATAACATGAAAATAACTGCAGTCTTTGTTAACTGATAGCCGCTTAAATTCAACAATTTTTATAGGGCAAGTAAAAACTGACTTCGGGCAAGTAGATCTGTGACCAACTTGCCCGACCGGGCAAGTGAAAAAAAACCTTAGCGTTGAACCCTGCATGGGTTAATGTCCGGAGCTTGAGTTATTAGCGGCTCGGTCCCAGCAATGGGTCAGGCGTTTTGGTCGTGTTAGGTGCGTAGCCCAGCAGCTCAGCTAACATTTGCAATTAGCATTGTAAAATGTGGCCCGGCGGGCAGCCTGGCAGCTGTGTTTAGCTATTCCCCTGCCTACTTCAATGATGGTGGTCCCTGTAATAAATGCCATATATTTGCTGAAATGGAGGCGAGGCTCAGTGACTAGAAGAGCTGGTAGAAGCGCTCCATAGCTGCAAGCTACTACAATAGCTGTAGTAGCTCTAGTGCTAACAATGGGAGCTAACACTAACATTCCTCTCTTCTCCGTGAGCCCGCCAGGCTCCACGCTAGAGCTCACCGGAGCCGAGAAGCAGGCTCCCGTAACGTTAGCATGGCAGCCGACTGGTGCTAACGCTAACGTCCCCACGCTTCTCGGCTCCGACTCACTGAGCCTGGCGGAGAAGCGTGGGGACGTTAGCACTAATGGGCTGCCATACTAACGTTCCAACTCTTCTCTGTGAGACTGTGAGCCTGGCTCCCGGCTCAGTTGGAGTTGGAGCGTTAGCGTGGTAGCCAAGTAGTGCTAACGCTAACAGGAAAGCAGGGAAATAGCTAAACACAGCAGAGACCGAGAGTGAGTGAAAAACATTGCTAACTGCAAAACTAAGATGGCTGTTTAGGTTTTATTTCCTCGCCCCTGTGGCGAGTGAATCTGCCAAAAGAGAAAGCGGGGGCTAACCGGTGCTTCCTCCTCATGCTCCACTTCACTAAGCTGCTAACACAGCTTCCACAGCTTCCCAGCTAGCGGCTCTCTGTTTGGATCCAACCGGAGCACCGAGCCCTGGTTTGTTATTCAGGTTAATGTGGGAAGAAGCAGCGGGTATATCAGGCAGCTGAGTGAAGCTGAGTGAAGCGGAGCCTGCAGAAGAAACACCGGGACCGTCTGGATGTGATAGTCCGTGCTGTGGTACTCGTCTCGCCGGCACAGACAAGGAGGGGGGGGGGGGGGG